CAAATCAACATGCAAAAACCAATAAACATAATGTCTATTAGGCACACACACACACACACACACACACACACACACACACAAAGATTTACGAATATACATTATCATCTGAATCCTACACAGATAAACTAGAATTATTATACACTTACATAGATAAAGCAACATTTGTGATTTTTTAGCTTGAAATCCGTTAATTTCTTAGAACTTTGAAAGGACGCATCGTCTCTCCTTGAATTTGGAACGCCAAAAATTATACTAACGTTTCTTTAACAAGCTGTGTGCACGTGAAACATTATTAACCAAAGAAAATCAAACAACACAAAAGTAGAAATGCCAGAATTTCTTTCTTCTTTTTCTCCATATCTAATTCTCTGATGAAGCTTTAATAAAAACGAAACATGATAGTTTCCTATTTGTTAAATGGCAACTGTTAAACGAAAGAAGGAAAAGAGAAAGAAATGAAAAACCTGAAGAGCGAGTGTAAAAAAAAAAAAAAAAAACAACAAAAAAACAAAAACAAAAACGAAAAGGCAAATGATCACGACACCCCACACGTACGCACATCCGCAGTGATTGCACATCCACAGAGACGGGCGCATGGATGCACGTACGAAAACAAAAAATACAGCAAAAAATTACACCAATGTTAAATGTATGAAAAGGAAAAAATATGAAAAATATAAGCAGTAAACTGCTGATAGCCTCTGAAGAGTGGATGGTCAGGTCTGCCTACGAAACTCAGGATGCTGAGGGTAACATCAATTAACTAAGTGACAAACCATTACTCATATTAATCTTATATATATTTATATATATATCAATTATGTGGTGCAGTTTAATTTATATTACAATGAATCATTCATACAAAAAGTAAATTAGTAAAGTTTATGAGATAAAATGGCGAATTCATTTTGCTAACTAAATTTTAAAAATGCATTAACCCACTAACCACTCGATGAATGTTGTGATCGTTGTTTTTTAAAAATATAAACTGTATTAGGTCTTCCTTAAATATGCAAGCACTTTCGACAGGTTCTCCGGTCATCATCAGGATTGGAAACCATTTTCTTTTTGGTAAAATTCAGGTAGCATCCGAGACGAAAAAAGCGAAATATGTTTTTTTGAAGTGTGTTATTGATAGCAGATATAAACTTGTGGAGTGTGCATTTGCAACGCTAAGGTTATATATATATATATATATATATATATATATATATATTAAATAATTTTAATTTATTTTTATAATTAAATTTAAAGTTTTAGTTTCTGTTTTTGAAGCATGGTAATTCTGGTGTAGCAATGGGATCATATTTTTAAATTAGTAAATTTATAATATATATACAGTGTAACCCGGATATAAGAGAGTTGTCGGGACCGGAGAAGAAGTCTCTTATATCCAGGTTTCTCTTATATCCGGGTTTGGTCTATTTTGTTTAGGTAAGTATGGGCTCTAATTTGGAACCAGAGAAAATCTCTCTTATATCCGGGTTTCTTATATCCGGGTTACACTGTATATATATATATATATATATATATATGAAGAATAACTAATTACTAAATGTAATCAAACCGTGGGTGTAAGGAAAGTGCATTGGAATTTGAGGGTGCAGTATATGAACTAACAATCAAATTCAAATTCAAATCTTGCTAACAATAATGGTATGTAAAAGAAATTTACCATATCGCATATAAGACACCCACTTTTACTCTCATAAAATTCTCAGTGTTTGTATTGTATAGTTGACACATCTCGTAGGCTGATGTTCACCTAAGCACCATCGACTACCAATACATAGGCTAAATTACGATAATGGATGGTGACTGATGAAAGGCACCTGATCCCATTCAGCTTATTGGAAATTAGATAACAGTACAATGCTAATAATGAGATAAAGTGGAAAAATATTCAAACTGTTCGCCTCTTTATGAAAAGCGTCTTCAGGTCGGAATGAGAGGCAAAACCCTGGGTGTTAGGAAAGAACATCGGAATTTGAGGATGCAGTATACGAAGTAATAGAGAGAAAAAAAAGAGATCTACATAGAGTAGGTTAATTTAAAATCCCGCAGATGTCAACGGTTTTCAATAGAGTGATAAAAACTTTCTAGCATCTGATAAGGATATTTATTATCTCTTACTCAAATTCCAACTCACTTTCCTTACACACGGGTTTGTCTATCAGTTCATCTCTCATTCCCACATAAAACGCCTACCAAAAAAAGGGGCGGGTGAAACACGTAGTCTAAATAGCTTTTCCCAGTTTGTCACTATATATATATATATATATATATATATATATATATATATATATATATATATATATATATATATATATGAAAGAAAGCGGTCTGACCGCTTGGTCATGACATATGTGGATATGCCATGATATTTGTATATAAATTTGCATTATATTTGAAACTACATATTAGATTTATATATTTATATTTAAATTATTGATATATATCTGTATCTCTCTCTCTCTCTCTCTCTCTCTATATATATATATATATATATATATATATATATATATATATATATATATATATATATATAACTGAAATTTTGAAGATTTAAAATTGAAGTAGATATTTTCATATAGTGCTCAATATTAAAAACAGAGCATTGGTAATATTATTTTTTTCATATATACAGAAGAATTGCTTTACTGTAATTATTCATATCAATCCTTGCTGTTATGTCCCCGGTTGTAAATTTAATATACGGATTAACCCCTTGAAAAGTGGACGCAGTACCACGAAACTGCGGAGTCGGTCGGGGACATAACAGCAAGGATTGATATAGGCAATTACAGTTAAGGAAATCTTATATATATATATATATATATATATATATATATATATATATATATATGAGAATATAGGTCTGTTATTATTCGAGCACTATTTTATGGCGTAGATTTGTGCAAGGCTGTATTTTTTGAGTTGACTGACCATGACCTGTTGCAAAGTCTCATATTTCTCTTTTTAGTAGAATACAATCTCGAATGTTTTTGAATTCACCTCGTAACCTGTTTTCTAGTTTTATTTTCGATATTAGTTTTCAAGTCTTTGTGTGTATGGGTGTAAATATTTCAAGATGACGTGTTTGCACGCCCCTCTTATGTGTCAACTACAAGTGCTGCCAAGATTCTTTTCTTCATTCCCCCAACCCAGCCTACTATTTTCAAATAGTTTTCTTCCGTGGCACGATTATTTTGTTCCACGTTTAAGAAACTTATATAAAAATTCCATCTGGAACGTTTATTTGAAGCGGCACACTCATTTTATAAGTCGAAAAATTCCTACGGACATATTCTAAATGGTAATTGTATTTATACTTTAATTAATTCGTTTGTTATAGATGGTATTATAGGCACAAAGTTTTGGTTAAGTTTTTCTGGTCATCATCAGTTGTTTATTATTTCGCTGATATGAAGTCAGTCAGTTATGTGCTATGCGTGATGCACGCTTCGGCGATCATGTATCTTTCGATACGTGACTGACGAAGCAAATTTTTTCCCGCAGTAGGTTGACATTTCTTTCTGCGGTAGGCCAGTTCCATCTAAGACTATAGAACCCGGGAACCTGCTATTTACCCAAAGCTGTGGGATAAGAAGAGGATTCATACCTTTCCCAAGGATATTAGCACATAAGTGAATGTAATGGATTCGACTGGAATTCGAACTCGACTCTCCGATACCCCAATCCTAGCCGTTATCCATTACTCCTCTCCTGAAATGGAGTATCTATTGATTATTGTCCTATTTTGCCTGATGGCGATTATTGTTCATTCCTGCTGACCCAGTGTTTCACTACCTGATCCAGGGATTGAACTTGTCACTCGATGACAATAAAACGTTTTAACTTTATATCCACTCCACCATTGTCTCTATATTCAGTATCAGATGATTTCGGCATTTGGTTATCATGGTATTTTTGTACTGCTTTTTGAAAATGTGATTTTATTTTTTGAGATAACTAATTGTTAATATACTCAATTTCAAACTATTCTTCTCGTCTTGATTAGTATGTTATTATAGACCTAACAATTCGGCTAAGTACGCTCTAGCCATCCTCAATTGTCCATTGAAAATTTCATCGATTTCCTATTTTAATATTCTGATGAATCTTAATTCTTAAGTTAATGACTGAGGAAGCTCATGGTGAGTTCTACGACAATAAAACAACCGTAGAAGTTCCACTATCGCATCGTTTGGAGTTTAACAACTTTAATAAAATATTGCAATAACAATCATAAATATGAATGCTGGTCGTTATTTTAAGAAGTGGGTACAAATGAAAAGATTTGAAATTGAGAACTTTTGCCATTTCACTGAAATAGACATTAAACAGTTTTATCGTTCCTTTCTTTCTTTATTGGCAGGAGACGTTTCTTTCTTTCTTTGAACCCAGTTAGTGCCTTTACCCCTCTTTCCAAGCGAACAAAACGGAATAGTCCATTATTTATAAGGTATTGGCAAGAGACGTTAAACATTCCTATCTTCCCTTCATTCTTTCTTTCTTTCATTTTCTCACTGAAACCATACAGTGTCATTTTTCTCTCTTTCCACGTGATTAAAATGGAATAATCCCAATTATATTAAAGTCGATTCGTTAGGAAATTAATTTAATTGCAAAAATATTTGACTACCATTCTTTGTAAGAAAACTATTTTCATATATATATATATATATATATATATATATATATATATATATATATATTCTAAAAAATTCATGCATGTTTTTCATTTTTTAATCCGACATGTTTTTTTTTATTCAAATATTATTTTTTTCGTGGATACCCGTATTTAAGTAGATGCTCAGTTCAAAAAGATGTGCCTAAAAAAATTTACTTATAAAAATTGCTAGAGTTTATAATTATTTTTGTTTAAATGTATTTTGTTTATTCCTTTGAATGCTTTGACTTTAGAAATATTTATTCTGTTTACTGGATAAATTACTTTTGCAGATAAAGTTTAACTTATATATTTCTTATTTTTTAAGGAATTAATGGCCCGTATTCCAATCAAGAAACTCCAACAGTGATCATTGGTGAGTTTTCTCATATTTTCAATATTATCTATCTATCTATCTATCTATCTATCTATCTATCTATCTATCTATCTGTGTGAGTCTAGAACAGATTTATACACACTACACACATGTAATTACATACATATCTCTCCCTCACTCACTCCCACCCCTCACATACTCCTCTCTCGCTCTCTCTCTCTCTCTCTCTATATATATATATATATATATATATAAATGGGTGTGTGTTTCGAACAGCTTAATACGCACATACGCATCTATCTATCTATCTATCTATCTATCTATCTATCTATCTATCTCAGTTTATTTTGCTCTATTTATCAATGTATCTGCCTGTCTTTGAATGTCTATCTGATTGTTCATTTACATATATTCATTTTACTCTCTTCATATCTTTGTCCATTTACATCTGTATATCTATCTGTTTGCAACGATAGCGGGTTGGCTCTCAGCACGAGTCGTCAAGGCTCGTATGCATATAAATATCAATATTTCCGACTCACATTTACAACACAAAAAGACATTCCACATGTAATGACCTCATGCAGATTTCCCATTCCTTCGTAGTCAGTAAATTGAAATAACTGCAGAACCTACAATGGCCAAATGCATATTTTGTATGTCCAGTAGTTATTCTTGTAAGCCATTGAAATGAAAATCGTGTGTGTAGTGTAACAGGAGGTGAAAATTGGTTGGAAGGATTATATTCTGTTAATTTTAATTAAAAGCGTTTGAAATCCATAGCTTGGTTTCATTTATTCATTCATTCATTCATTCATTCATTCATTTATACGTTTATTCATTCATTCACCACTCCTCCCATCTTACAATTTTGGTTCATGGTGACTTGTGTGATGTCAAAGAAAACTCGTTGCCACTTTTTTTTTGATGCCAACGAATACTTGTTGTCACTTTCCGTAATGCTCGTTTTAGTAGAGACTTTGTAATCGCAGATATAACTATAGTACACCGTTGAACAATACTGGTGTCAGACGCCTTCGAATATCGAAATACTACTTGCTCAATAATATTCGCTCGAAAAGTAAACACCGTATAGTGATCCGAATAGAGAAATAGTATAGTGAATAGACTAGAGAATAGTATAGTAATAGAGTAGAAATGGTGATCCGTATAGTAATAGAGGATAGAGTAGAAATAGAGATCAATTAGACGCCAAGATAATTTTTACTTATGCGTTTCCTCTATGGTCACATGGTCTACTTAATTCAATAATGGGATCGCCTGTGTTTGCTCACTGGCGATCTATTTTCAAACTCAAGTGTCGGCAGCGATACTTTATTCCTATATAACAGTAACATACAAGGACGTATAGCGCAATGGCTTGCCGGTTCCTTTTGCACCAGGGATGTTGAGGTTACCCTGTCCCTCCTCTCAGCAGTTAAAGAGACAAGACCTACAAGGCATTCGGTGGTTAGAATTCAGAGTTTTCCGTCTCCTGGACAGGCGATGGTATATGGAGGCCGTGTGCTGCTCAGACTACATGGCTTCCCTCTTGGACGTACCGACAAGATCCAAAGAAATACAGGGCATTACATTTTGTGATGGCTTAGCTGCAGGAGTCAGTGCAGACAGCCAACCGCCTTCGGAGCTTCATTCTGGGTTTTGTGTCTGGATTTACTTCCATAGCCTTTTGGATATGACCGCAAGGCAATGGGGGTTCATAATCAGGGTTTTTCTTCCCATAGATGGGCTATGTGATATGTCAAGCTCAAATTCAAAATTCAAAAAAGCAATAAAACCTGGTTATGAGGCGCCAGTTTTTCGACTTTGCCTAATGGAGGCTATTTGAGAGGCATGACACGGAAGCATTTTATAGACAGTGGGAGCTTGTCCCCACTATCACCCTCGGCTATGACAACCACTGGAAAATAAATGTACGTATACAAATATTTATATACATTCTCTCTTCTTTTATCTGCCGTGTCCCTTCAGGACTTAGGCGATCATAGCCCTCCACTTCCTCCTGTCCTTTGTTGCTCTCAATAAGTTTTGTCTTTTTGTTATTTCTCCCAGACCCTGTTCTGACATCCACTTGCTTAATCCCATTAACTATGTCACGCATTGCTTTCCCTTGTCCCTCTTTCTCTCTATCTGTCCTGTGAGTATCAGATTTTCGAAGCTCTCCTTTCTCATTACGTGTCTCAGAAATTTCAGCTGCCTCTTCCTGATGTTAAGTATAAGTTTTCTCTTTGTTTGCCTCCTCTCAAAAACCTCATCGTTGCTCACATTTTCGCTCCATGGTACCCTTAGTATCCTTCTATAGAACGATACCTCTGTTGTCTTCAGTCTCTTTTTCATCTTTGAGGAGATTGTCCAACATTCACTGCCATAAAAGACTGATATCACGTATCAGTTCAGCACTTTTTTTAATTCCCAACGAAATTCTCCTGTCTAGCTTTAGGAATGCGGCTTCGGCCATCCAAATACGTCTTCGGATCTCAGCGTCGCACTTACCTTCCTCCGTCAAAACACTTCCCAGATATTTAAACTTCCGCGTCTGCTTGATTTTAGTGTCCCCAATCTGTAAATCTTATTTTGGGTTCATCTTTTTACTGATGACCATGCATTCTATCTGCTTGTAGTTTATGCTTAGTCCCTTCTTCTTGCTCTCCTTCGCTACCTTCTGTAGGGGTTTTTGTAGTTTTCTTTCCGTGTCTGCTGCCAGCACCGTGTCATCTACGTATCTTATGTTGTTAATATTGTGGCCGCCAATGATGAATCCTGGTAACGCGTTTTAAAAGCGCCAAAAAATTAACGTTTTTTTTTTAATAAAACGTTAGGTAAACAAAAACACTAGAAAACAAGACAAATTACAAAACAGTACATAAATAGACAAACACAAATATCAAAAAGTTTGTTCAGTTTAGAAACAGATATCAGAAACAAAAAAATTTGAAAATATACATCGAGATTTAAGCCTAAAATATTCGGAGATTATGAAGTCATTATTTAACATTCAATAAAATCATTTATACTACCTTTTTGACAGTATTAACACCTAAACAATTAATTAATAAAAATGAACGAGAGTAGAAAATGCAAAGGTGATAAATATAACTTAAGGTAAGCAAAAAGAGAAAGTAAAAATAACACAAACGATCTTCAGGTTAGTTGTATAAAAACAAATAAATACTTACAGAAAACCCCGGTAACCGTGGAAAAGTTGAAAGAAATAAAAAGAAACAAAAACTTCAAGTAAATATAATAATCATAATATACATAATAAATGAAATAAAATAAATAATAATTGCAAATTATATTAAATTATTATATTACTTATTTTTAAAGCAGTATTTACATTTTTCAGACTTAAAATTCGTTAATATTTTGATGCTTCGACAAAACGCGTCATCTTTTCTTGGGTTCAGAACGCCTTGGTTTCATTAAATATATAACCCATTTTCTAAAGTCATATTGGGTTATATGCAAGGGGTTTATCTTATAAATTAGTGGGTTAAAGGTTAAATAGTACTTTTGTATAGGATTTTCGTTGTGTAAGATAAGTTTTATAACAAATGCTAGATTAGTTATGTCAGATTGTTAGCAAGATACAAAGGTTTTCCAAAAGTTTTGAGCTCAATATTCTTAATCAGACGATAGCGGGGATAGAATTTTTCAAGAGATTTTTCTTCTACAGGCCGTCATAATTGCGGTTGATTTTCAAGGGATCTACTCCCTTTATGGCATTCCATTGCCCTACTTTTCACAGTCGAACTTTGGCATGCGATCACATTTTTCCTGCGGGGCAAGTTGTTCCAGAGCCAAAAGCACAATGAGAGCGCGATACTTCAATTCCTGATTTGGATTGTCGTTGGCCATCGTCAGTTGCTTCAAATATTCATTGCTTCTGGAATGTGAATCACAGAAAAATATCAAGAGCAAAGAAAATGTTTAAATTTTCTACAACCTATCTATCTCAACCATTTCATCTATCTATCTATCTATCTATCTATCTATCTATCTATCTATCTATCTATCTATCTATCTATCTATCTATCTATCTCAGCCATTTCATCTATCTATCTATCTATCTATCTCAGCCATTTCATCTATCTATCTATCTATCTATCTATCTATCTATCTATCTATCTATCTATCTATCTATCTATGTATGTGTGTGTGTGTGTTATCTATATACACTAAATGCCAAATATGTGGAGCCACACCCGGAAATTAATAATTAAGACGTTCCGAACCTTGTCTGGTTTGATTAACTCCTTCTAAACTAGGACGCTGAAACTATTTAACCCCTTTAGTGCATGGCGTCCAATCTAAAATGTAAAGCTCTAAGTTTACCATTAGCCAGAAAGGTCGATTAGGCAAAAAGAGCTAAAATTTTAAGGAAAATTTATGCAGTAGTTGGTTAATTTCTTTATTGCTATCATTATGCAATATATGATAAATGTCATTAGGAAGAGAAAGTCCTTCTGACCTGAAGTCAGCTAATAAATTAGTTTTGAAAAAGGCACGCAAATTTTTCATCTATCTATCTATCTATCTATCTATCTATCTATCTATCTATCTATCTATCTATCTATCTATCTTGTATTGACTGTTGTCTTGTGTGTACTAATTCGAGTATAAGAGGACGGTTAATGATAATTTCTCATCCAAGAAATTCTAGCATAAACAGTGCGGTACTTCATTTTCCGATGTTCGTCGGTCGTCGTCAGGTGATTCAAATGTCCATTAATAAGATTAATAAGAAATTATTGGGAATAATGTTCAAAGTTTCTGAAAACAATATACACAAGCAATATATTATAATAAGTTAATCAAATAAAACAATAATTTATAATTTGCAAAAGTTCGCCTATCGTTCGGTTCACACTCCTTCCTAATCTGTTGAACAGAAGTAGACGTTTATCTGCTTAGGATTGGATTTCCGGTTCATTCTCTTTAACTCCCAGTAGCCCCTTGCATATTAGTGGTACTGTCGCCATGCTTGGGGTGAAAAAAAAACCCTGTAAGAGGGAACATATCTAGACTCAAAACTTTTGGAGCAGCTTTCGTACATTGTCAAGAAAAAACAGTTAAAAAATTTAGTAAACGTGTTTTGCGATTAACGACTGTTCTAGAGAAAGAGAGTTCAACGTTTGTTTTCCTAGAAACAGATTTGTGTGTGTGTGTGTGTGTGTGTGTGTGTGTGTGTGTGTGTGTGTGTGTGTGAGAGAGAGAGAGAGAGAGAGAGAGAGAGAGAGAGAAAGAGAGAGATATTAAATCCGGGCTGATAAGTTAAGCGTATTAGACCAAGAGCAACGTGCTATAATATTTCAACCTCTGTTACAATCGCAAATACGCGTTGGAAATAATAAGAAAATTTTAAATCATGATTATTTTGCTTAATAATATTCGCTTATTCTGACATTCGTTCAAGAAAATAGTTTTTTTGCACATTACCTGTTAATTTGAACTGGAATTTATTTGACTAAAGATCAAACCGAAGCGAATTTCAAAACGAAAAATTCCGTAGATGTAGAAATAGAAATATAAACAAAAAAAAAAGCAAGAAGCTAGTTTTAGATAAATAAAACCTTTGTCAATAA